AAGAGACTAGCTATTCTGCCTATTTCTCTTTCATGGAGTCCTTTCCAGAAACTGTATTCACTTTGTTCTATTAATCATCAAGTAGTCACTCTAATACTCTTGCGTTCTAATATCTCTGAAATTCTCAATACTTGAAACAGATTATCCTAGGTTCTGACAGGAGTCAAGAAAATGTGATGAAGAAGAAAGCATGTCAAAACATGGTAGGGCTCAACTTACTGCTGCTAGAGGGAACGACATATGAAGTATAAGAAGGCATGTGGACAGCCAGTACACAGGAAAATAGTATATTTTATAATTTTTGTGGAGACATAAAAATCTCAAATATTACAATTTGATATGAATTGAAGTCAGGACATAGGTTGTGCCATGTTTACGTTTTTCTAAACTAATTCTATAAAGTTAGTATTCTTTGTGTATCCGCGAAAATGTGTGTTTAGTTAGATAAATGACCCATTAATTAAATTTCTTCTGTGGTTGTGCTGAAATAAAGCAATTTTTAGTCAGACATTATATGCTTCCCACTACCTTTTATTTCCTGCTTGGGTAGAGCTTCAACATTGTGAATAGCTTCATGTCACTAATAACCTGGGAATTCTCAAGATTTCTAGGAATACATACCAGTTTTCAAAGCCCTCGGTGGGTACACATCCCAACACCTTTCCTAAGTTTTAGGGTTAGTCTATTTTTTGCCCTATGTACCAACTGATTAAATTAACAGGGATGTTCTATAATTACCTTATTTTTGACAAACCAACCCAGAGGGTAAAAAAATGTTCATATGAGGAAACTCTGAATCTAGACAAATAGATAACCTAATGAGTAGAATCTTCCAGGAAATCATTAAAGAGGTGAAAAATGACAACTGTCTTAAATGGGACCTCATACTTTCCTGCCTTCCAGTAGTTACTAAGATACTCATTTTTACAATATTTACAGGATATTAATTTCTAAGAATGTTAAAATTTTTAATTGAACAGAGCTGAGGATGAGTAATGTGAATGTGAAAGTTTCTCTTTTAAACAAGGTTTAATACCTTAAGTCTTTATAGTTTCCACAATTCTGAAAAAGTTCATTCTAATTTTACCAGTGTTCTCACTGGTTTTACTGAGTAAAGGATTTCTAATACTCACCAGGACAAACTTCTACCTTTTTGTCATATTGTTTTGTGGATTTTTTAAAAATAATATGTGAGTTTTAACATCTCTTCTGTCTCAAATATCTATCAACTTTCTCTATACTCATTTTCTTACCCAATTTTTTAAAACTATTTCCATTGCAACTTTCTAAAGTCTGCCACAATACCTCCAATTATAATCAGTCAGCAAAATTCATTTTTATTTTTGTTTCTACAAGAAGTGCTTTTTTTTTTTTTTTAATTATTCATTTTACACAAGAACCAGGGTACAGGCCAGATGTGTGGGAGGGCAAGAGGATTCACCAGAGACAGAGTGAGGAGCAGAACAGGCATGACAGGAGAGGTCTGCCGAGCCTTGTGAGATCCTTGCTGGCCAGCCGGCTGGGATCAAACCGGCGCTGTAGAGGCTGTGGACAGTCTCATAACGCAGCACACAACCGCAAGCACCACCAGGGCAGGCCCAAGAAGTGCTTTTTATACTTACACATTTTTATTTTTCCCTTCTGCTTCATAGCTGAATTCTAATTGCTACCTTCTTTTAATGTCTTTTAACAGCTCCTATATCACACATCTACTTTATTATTTTCTAAATACACTTTATAGTTTTTACATAAAACAGATTAATTCTATGTAATAAACAAAAACCCTCTACCTGAACTCTATAGAATTTTAAAGGAATGATGCCCTTATTCACCTTTCAGAAATGTTTCCTGGTGAATATTTATTTTTTTAAATTCCAAAATTTTATTTTTGTTTTACCATTTTATCATAAACTCTTAAGCTTACACTATTAAGTAACATACAAATCCAGTAATTAAAACTACAAAACAAAGAAGTAAATATGTAAAATTTATTTAAAAAATGAAGTTAAAATAAATTTACCTTCTCTCCTTGTTATTAAAATTAGAATTAAATTGGAACAAACCATATTTTTGTAGATTATCAGAGTATATAGAGTAGAAGTGAGTTTGAGCATTTATTCACTGAATATTCATTTTAACCAATGTCATTATTAATTAGAAAATAAGATCAGGTCCTCCCAGGAGGCACAAGGGGTTAAGATGCAACCTATGAAACTATCAGCGGCCAGTGCAGCATGAGTTTGATCCCTGGCCAAGGAAATACCCACACAGCACAGGAGACCTCTCCTGACTCTCCTGCTGCTGCTCCCCGCAGCAGTGTGTTTCAGTCGTTCTGCCTGTTCTATTCCCCACTCTGTCTTGGATGAATCCTCTCACCTCCATACCTCTGGCCTATACCCCAGTTCTTGTATGCATAAATAAATAAAACTTAAAAAAAAATAAAAATAAGATCAGCCAACTCGTTAAAACAACTAAATAACGGCCTCCCCGGTAGCAGAGGGTTGGTTAGGTGTCAGCATTGAGGGCAATCCACAGCCACTGAAACACCAGTTTGATTCCCAGCCAAGATGCTACCCCACATGGCGCAGCAGACCTCTGCTGTCCTGCCCATTGTTCCCCTCAGCAGTGTATTTCAGTCAATCCACCTGTCCTGCTCCCTACTCTTTCACTGATAAATCCTATCATCCCCACCCCCCTCACCCGCACCTCTGACCTACACTCTAGCTTTTGTATGCATCAATAAATCAATTTTTTAAAAAAGCTACTAAACTAGGGACCTCCCCGGTGGCTCAAGGGGTTAAGCATAGCACTGTGAAGCTATCCGCAGCCTCTACATCACAAGTTAGATCCCCGGCTGGCCAGGGAGCTTCTCACATGGTGCAGAAAACCTCTCCTGTCTCACCTGCTACTCCCCTCAGCAGTGTATTTCAGCCAGTCTGCCTGTTCTGTTCCTCACTCTATCTCTGTTGAATCCTCTCACCCCCCTGCACTCAGTTCTTGTATGTATAAATAACTAAATCTTAAAAAAAATTTTTTTAAATACTAAACTAAATGGCTGTTACACTGTAACAAATATTTGCCTTCAAGTACACTACCATGGCAGCATACAAAATTAAGAACACTTCCTTTTCATTGTTTCAAGTTAAGTATTTAAGAAAGAAAAAAGCTGATAGAGGGGCAACTGAAGACTACATTAAGTATCAGGTATTTAGAATCAATAACTTCGTGAAATTCCTAAACAGAAGAGTGATATACCTGAGCGATACCTGCAAACTGGTATCTTTTATCTAATATGTTGAATGAATGTACTATTTTCATGATATGAAAAAGTGAAAAGTAAATCATCTCAGTTTTCTCTATCACATACTTAGAATTATCAGATATCATCATACTTCCTTACACACTTAGAAAATCTTGTGATCCCATAAAAAGGTTCCTTCACCCTAGCAATGGCATTTTAGAGAAGTATCTATCTTTTTAGAAGGTAAAACAAGGTGATACAAAAAAAACCTGACTTCCCTTAGGTAATTCTTTTTTTTTTTTTAAAGAGGCATGTATATTTATTTATTTGTTTGTTTGTACATGCACTGGGTACAGTCAGAAGCGCGGAAGGGTGAGAGAATTCACCAGAGCGGGGAGCAGAGCAGGCAGAAGGACTGAAGTACACTGCTGAGGGGAGCAGCGGGCGGCAGGAGAGGTCTGTGCGCCATGCGGGACCCTCCTCCGGTGGCTGGGGAGCAGCCGGGGATCGAACCGGCGCTGCAGAGGCTGCGGGCAGCTTTGCAATCCAGCGCTCAACCGCTGCGCCACTGGGGAGGCCCCCCTTAGGTAATTCTTCTTATAGATCTTGTAGATGAATTTAACGTATGTTGAAATTAAATCCTAAATTACATCTAGAATTTTATTATGATATGTAAGAAGCCACTCCCAACCTTTCCTTCAAACTAAATTACAAGCATAAGGCCAATATTGTAAGTTTTAAGTAACTTATACCTGTTAAGTTGAAAGTAAAACAGATAAAGAATACAGCTAATGGTTTAAAATCATCAGATTTAGGCTCTTGACAGTTACTAAGCAATTCAGTTAGATGTGGAAAATATTAAGATAAGCTAAAACGGTACACTTAAGGTATATGTGATTATAAACAAAAAGGCCAATGCCTGCTTCTTTTAATTCCTGCACTCTCCAGATGTGTTATACTCAAAGACACAATAGGAAAATAATGTTATTGGAACACTATGAACTCACTGTATCTTGTACATATTCATTCCAAATATCCTAACTGTACCATCAGCTGGTGAGTTAGGATAATTATTTAGTTCAACAGATATCTATAGGGGCTACCAAACAAAATGAAATCCCATTAATATACAGACCAGCCACTGTTATGTCTACTTTTAGATCCCATCCACAAATTTAAAGTTAGATATATCAGAAACAGCTTTCCAGGGATTCCAACAACAAAAATACTCTGACATGTGTGTACTACCTAAGCAAAACTATACTAATTATGCCCAATAAAAGTGCAAACACAACTAAGGAAGCCAGCAGCCATTTAAGGATTAGTAAAGCATAGTATAAAACCAATCTGATATTTCATTTGTAATCAGTCTGAAATCTAACTTTAATTAGTTGTTGGTAGTCCTATATATGACTCTTACTGCAAGGCATTAAAGTATTATAATACCAAAGACAGTGTCATCTTAAAACTATGCTCACTGCTTTGAAGGGAAGTAAGACACTGGTATGTAAGAGAGAGAAGTGCAGTTCTACAAATAAAGAGCAAAATTTTCAAGCTGAACAGTTTTTTATTTTTGTGGTGATCTGGGAAGATAAGTGAACTAATCACAGCATTCAATCCTTCATAGTTAAGTCTGCACGTAGGCTCTTGAGATTCATCTTAACTTTTTATAATTATAAGACAAGTAAATATCATGTTCATATGTAAGAAATACGGTCTTCAAAAACACCTTTGATAATCACTTTACCCCAAGACTTACAGGAAATCATAAGGTAGTCCTCACAGTTGCTTTTGTCATCGTCTTGCTGGTCCACAGGGATCCCGTTGGCATCTATGACTGCTTCAGAGGCACAATCTGCTACCAATATCTCTTCTGAAACTACATCGGTTGTCAGAGAATCAGTGACGATTTCTGCTTCTACTACATTATCATGAGCCACATGTTCAACGTGTCCAACATCAGACACATGTATAGATTCACTTGTTAAGACTTGTTCTGGCATAGACATTGAGGCTGAAGTAATGTCAGAAGCTAAAACGTCATCTGGGACCGTGCAATGTGCTAAAGAAACTTCTTCGGTTACATCTGAATGAAGGACTTGCTCAGGAATGATGACATTTTCAGATATATGTGCTTCTTCTAAGATATCTGAGCACTGAACATCCTCAATAACAACATCCTCAATAACATCTTGGATTACAACCGAATCTGGGTCATCAGGAACAAAATTATGTACAGTTATATCTGAATCCACAACATCTGAAACAAAAACAGTTTCTTGTACTTCCACAACAATTTGATCACCATCCACGTGTGTAGCATCAGTTCCTTTAAAAAACAAAAGTTAGAATGACTAATTTCAGGTGGGTATGCATGACTATTTCAAATGTCAGTATCATTTAATTTCCAGCAGGAAAACAGACCTCAGCTTTCTCTTAAACTGAAGAACCGAAGAGGGAACAGTTTTTGATTAACATAAATAAAAAACGTACAATAAGAACTATTTTCATTCAACTCTAATTGATTGTTTAAAAAAAAAAACACTAAGGAAACAAAAGGCATAAAACAATTAACAGAAGAAAAATATTTATGAAAAACTTTTGGAACATCAACATAAAATGTTCCCAGACAACTAACATAAAAATTAAGTCCTAAGAAAAACATAATAATTAAGCAACTAACACATAATCAGGAAAAAAAAAATTTCCTTCAGATTTCCTCCATTTATTTTCTTTTTATCCATCTCCTTCAAATGTCTTCAAAACTCCCAACATTTTTCTTCCCTTTTACTTTTTACCCTTTAATGTTCCCATTTAAGTGGTGTAATAATCTACCAGTATCCTCTACCAACTGGAAATTTAGAAATTCTAAATTTAGGAATAAAAAGGATTGGGACATTAATGAAAATACGGAGAGAAAACCACAGGTAAAACAAAGGCAAGAGACAATCAGTTAAGGATTCCCTGCAGGTGAAGGTGCTCTGGAGTTGTGAAGGGTGATGTTAGCTTAAATGGGGATTGCCTCAGTGTCTCAAGGATGCCATTCCTCTTTCTGGCCTCCTTCAGTCAGTCCCTCCATTACCTAACCCCCAGTAGTTCCTCAGAATAAAAGCAACCCTATTCTAGTCTCTTCTGCAATTAAGTAAATAAAGGCACAAGGGTGAATAAACTGGAATCCAATAAGACTGAATGACTTCATCAAGATCATATAGTTGTTTGCACAGCGTATCATGCTCAGTAAATATTACTCTGTATAAATGCCTTGAAAGATAATACAAATATATCCTTACCAAAACCATAAGGTCAAGACAAAAGCAAATATGGTAGTTAGCCTTATCTTAAATGCTATTCAGTTGCTTACAGGTCAGAACAGCTGGGTTTAAGCAGGTTTTATTTAACTCAATGACTGGTCAGGTTATCAGAGATACATATATATACTCTTCAACAACAAAAAAAAATACATCTATACTCTTCAACAATACGTAAGTGTAGGAAGGCTTTAAAGTCACTAAATACACAGTTGAATTACACAGAGAGCATATTTTCTTTCCCTTCTGTATCTCTTCTACAAAATATTTATCTCCAATGTAACACAATTTTCAAGCAACAGATCACTTTAATTTCTATGTGAATACAAAATGTGAAAGTACTCTGTGGCAAGAACACTGATTTAAAACTTCTAATGCTACAGAAGAGTTTAGACACTTATTAGTTTTTGAGACCTTGGGCAAGTCATTTAACCTCTGAGTTTCAGTTTCCTCATCAGTAAAATGAGGACCGTAGTATCTGCCATGAATACCTGACAGGATTGTTGTGATCCTCAAATATGAATGTATGGGAAATGTTCAGTATAACTGGTATAACTGTAATGAGAGGTTTTATTATTAGGACATGAAAATGGAGGGTCTGTTAGATTAAGTGACTTGCTCAAAGACAAACAGCCTAAGTGTTAAAAATCATGATTCCAAAAAGCAACAGCCCATTCAATTCACAATTTGTCCGTAATTAGGTTTGTTTTTGCTAAGATTAAGGCAGTAAATTCTGTGTTTTTACTCCACACAACTTCAAACACATTAATGATATTTTATTATGTTCAAGTGAAAAAATATAACTTTGCATTTTCTACTATCGAAATGATATAACCAGACACTAGCCAAAAGTTATCTCAAATTGTTTAACATACACACCATTTTAAATATTAAAAATTCTAATTGTTGTTTTAATATGTGGCAGTATCACATAAATTTCAATTAGTAAAAAAATTAAAAACTTAACTCATAAAGTGGCAACATAACTGTTATATAATTATAATACAAGTAAATTATACATTATATATTATGAATCACTGCTATTTTACAATTATATAATACCAAATGTAAACACTTTATAACGTCATGTACTGAGAACTATGGCTCCTCTGAAATTATCCATGTACTTGGGGAAAAGAGGCACAATGTTATCTGCCTAATAAAAAAGGCTTATTTGGGGGCAGTTTCTTTCCTAAGACAATGATTATAAATGCAGACATCTTTTGTGTTTATATATAACATTAGACAATGAAAAAAAATAGGATCCATGTGATATTTCAGAATATGTACTCTATTACAGTGGTTGAAGAAAGAACCTAATAAGGAGAAAACATATAAACAAATACTATAAAATATTAGTATTAGCAAATTAAATATAGGGCCTAGGGTAAACTGTATGTTATCAGTGTGCTGTCAGTAGACTTACCAGTCTATCCACTGCACCCTACCCACCTGTCCAACGTCCACAACCAACACCACAGCAACTATAAATAAACCACACTATGATTTATGCCATATAAACCTTGCAGATGTAGTGAAGGTTATGCACCTTAAGACAGGATGATTAACAAAGAATAATTTGGATGGCTAAAATCTGATCATGTGAATCATTAAAACAGAGAACTTTTCCTAACTGATGTGGGAGCGCTGAAGCTGAATTTTGAGAAAGACTCAATTCACTATTGCTGGAGTTGGTAACTTGGAGAGGCAGAAAAAACACAGTCAGCTACATGGCAGAAAGACCAGACCATTAACTGCAATCAACAGGAAAAAGGGATTTTCAGTACTACCTATTAGTCAACTACATGAATTAACTTGAAAACAGATTTAACCACAGATTTTCAGAAAGTAACAACTTGATACCTTGATTTCAATGATACAAAATTTAAAGCAGATAATCTAATCCTATCATGATACATCTTTAACTTTCAGGGAAAGTGATACAATTTTATTGTTTTTAACTACTGAATTTGCTTCAATACTTGGTGCAGTGAAAAAATGAGTATTTTGGTGCCAGATTAAAAAGTTGTTGAAAAAATACCGGAAAAATGCTGTCTTTGGAACTGGGCATCAGGTAGAAAATGGAAAAATTTTAAAGGCCCTTTTTCTAGGGAAAAACCCTAGAAATTCTTGTATAGATTACTAGCAGAAACATGGAAGTTAGTTACTCTGCTAGAGAAAAATCAGAAGAAACATCACCATGAAGAAATTCTACATGGACTTACAGAATATGTAAGTACTCCTTTACAAAGCATAAACAGAAATCTAGACTCTTTATAAAAAATTTTTTTAAAGATTTTTTTTTAATACAAAAACTGGGGTACAGAGAGGTGGGGGAGGGTGAGAGAATTCACCAGAGAGAGCTGGGAGTAGAACAGGCAGAAAGACCAAAGACGCTGCTGAGGGGAGCAGTGGGTGAGGCAGGGGAGATCTGCCACACCATGTGGGTTTCTCCCTGGCTGACCAGTAATCGAACCTGCACTGCAGAGGCTGTGGACAGCTTCACAGCACAGCGCCAACCCACTACGCGTTTGGCGAGACCCCAGAAATCTAGACTTTAAGAACAATATTAAGCTACAGAGCCTAATGGTATTTAACATGAGCTATTAAGAGTTCAAAACAAGGTGAGAAACACATTACTAGAAACTACAAAGGGGCACATGGCTTAACAAAACTGCATCCTGCAATTATGTGGAAAGCATAACTTGAAACAAAAAAGCTAGATATTTAACACAGGAGATATAATCAGAATGCTGATGTCAGCATTCATTTCTTCTTGCTGCTTCTAGTGAAACATAAAACAAACAAATACAGACTAACTGTGGTAATAAAAAGCAAAAGTAAGATTTGAAATTATGAGAAATGTTCAGCCTCCATAGAAAGCATATGTGGCAAATTTTTTTAGAAACCAGGTAATCTCCTTAGGGAGATTTGCTACTGGCAAAGATGTTCTAGAGAATAAGCTGTATATAATTCAACAATTCTTCCTAAGATCTCACAAAGATCACAAGGTATTTGAATTCAGTCATATAATATCTCTGAGGGGGATGATACATCCCCAATCAAATAAGGAGGTTCTAAAGACCTTACACATTGCCTTTAGTAAAACTTTACCTGTGAAGTAGTAAAAAAGAAATAGGATTATTTTTATAAGCTAGTTTGATGAAGTCTCTTGTCTAATGTAATGACATATACCCGTAACACAAAAATTCCTCAAAATTTCTGTAAATTTTATACCATCAAAAACAATGTTAGTTTGAACTAAAAGGAACAGCAAAATTACAATGTAAAGATGACTACTCAACTTGCAAATTCTAGAAGCAAGATGCTGAAACACTTGCCATCTTTCATGAAAACAACAAAATCACCACCACAAGGAAGAGTCAAGAAGGAAAACTATGGATCATAAAGGATAATTCATGAAGCATGAAACTTCTGTTTCTTTAGTGTACGTGAAAGGTGAAGAAGTATGCCCCAGGGTTTTATTTAGTGAACTATATTCAGAGTATTATCAACACGACATAGATGTTATATGAAATTTCTGAGCTGCTAAATTTCATATTAGAATTCTGCATGTTCAATCTAAAAACTCCAAGAAAGTGTACAGATTTTACATCTGACAAGTGGGTGTTTGTGGATCAGAATACAGACAATAGTAGGCAAAGTGGTCCCCCAAAGCGCTCCAAAGACCATTTGCTACATCTTGAATTAAGTTATGTTATGATGAAAGAGACCTTTCAGATGTAGTATGGATATAAATAATACTGATTGCCCTCAGTGGGTTTCCGACAGGCGACAAGAAAATGTGAAGTAGGGGAATGCCAGAAGACTCCAAATACGACAGGCAATCAACTTATTCCTGCTAGAGGAAACTACATTTGAAGTATAAAAAGAAATGTGAGCAGTCAGTATATAGAAAAACTGGTTAATAGGCAGTTAAAGTAAACTAGATACATTTAGACAAAAACCTGAAGGTTCTTGAAAAAGAATTCTCCTTCACAGTCTCTATGTTGAATTTGTGAATTACATAGAAAACCCAGGTGAACCATAATGTACTTGAAAGTTCTTTCCTGTAAGTACCAAGTTTGCAAAGTTTTGGATCATGAAGTATTTGGAAATGTTCTGTGGCAAAAATAGAAAGATAGTGTAAGGTACGAGCAGAAATAAAAAAGAAACAAGTTCAAAGAATAGAACTTAGTTATAATTGGGGAAAATGAGAAGTGAAGGTAACAGTAAGATTTTTTTCATATTGAATGTGTTACCGCTAAAATCATAAATTGTCTATGGTATACTCTTGACAAGAAAACACGTTATTGAAGTATGAATCAATATCATATCTAGTAGTTCATTCTCCTGATAAGCAATTCCCAATGTGGTAGATAGGAAGTGGAAAATCCACCCCTCCCCCCCAAAGATATACCTATTCCATCAAAAAATGAATTTGGTTCTTGTGGCTGCAATTCAAGTTCATCTTCATCCATGGCTTTTAATTCTCATTAGTCACAGCTCCTAAACCAGAGAATAAAGTATACCAAACATTAATTTTTATATCACATATTTAAAATGTCAAGATATTTCTTCACTCCTGAAATGCTCAAATCTTGGATTTACCAAAGTTCCACGAATGAAAAATAATGGCAACATACTGACTTGCAGAATGATATGAGCAATTATATAGCAAAGGTCAATTATATCACTCTGTATTTTTCTTAATTATAGTACTGCCTATTTCCATGTAAACAGATTGTTTTACTTACTATATACACCAATTTGCATATATAACAGTATTAACATTATTCAGATTATGATACAGAATATATCTTATAACACAGATGATTCCCTCCTGATTTCCTCATAGTAACAGCCCAATGATTCTTCAAAGTTTAACTTTAACATATTTAGCATATTTATTAAGAGAATTTCTGCAAGGGACATTACATGTCTTAATTTATAATACAATCTACAGATTTCCAATCACAAAATTACAAAATGCTAGAAATTCAAACTTCATAATAACTTAAGTACTTCAGATTTCTTTATAGCTGGTGATCTCTGTTAACTGATCTTCTCACTGTACAAATAATTCTCCGAGCATATTTAAATCTCCCAGAGCACAGATGAATAGGTACCAGTTATAAATGGGTACAAAATAAATTCTTCTAGGAGCACCATAGAAGTACCCAAGTCCCACCTATAAAATCTGAAACTTGGTCAGGGTTAGGGGTGGGGGAGGGGAGGTGAAGGGGGTAGTCTAGGGTTAAGTTTCAGCACTGTCACCACTATGGCCTGAGTTTGATACCCTGCCCAGCCAGGGTGCAGAAGACCTCTCCTGTTCCCTTAGCAGCATATATCAGTAAATCCTGTTCTGTTCTCCCACTGTATCTCTGGTGAATCATCTCACAACCCTCCAGCCTCTGCACCTTTGACCTACATCCCAGTTCTATGCCAAAGTAAAAAAAAAAAAAAGAAAATAAAAATGAAAAAATAAAAAAAAATTTTTCTTTGGCTTATGGTTAGGAGAAACAGGCAGTTTAACAAAGAAAATAAAATACAAAGAATCTAATACTTGCCTAAAGAGAAGTGTGAAATTACAGGAAGCAGGAAGAAGTTGGTATTCACCAGCGGCCATCTTTTCAGGGCTATACAAACCTCCTAATCGTTTTTTCTCTCTTGCTTTCCTCACTTTCTAATATACCTTCAATAATGCTATTAGACATAGCTTCTTTATCATTTTTGCTGACAAAATACAAAAATGCATGTTTCTTAAAATTTCAAGTAATACAGTTATTTATCTATTGTCTACATTTTTTCTTACTTTCTGTATTCTTCATGCTCTTCCATTTGAGGCCTTGATCCTAAATAGACAGACTATCCTGGGTCTTCCTGGTGGCGTAGGGGTTAAAGTCTCAGCTATGGCCAGTCACTAAAGTGTAAGTTCCAGCCCTTGCTGATCCACATAGCGCAGTAGACCTCTCCTGTCTGGCCCACTGCTCCCCTTCATTACTGTATTTCAGTACCTCTGCCTGTTCTGTTTTCCACTTTGTCTCTAGAGAATCCTCTCAACCCTCCTACACCTCTGGCCTGCACCCCCGTTCTCGTATGCATAAAGGAAATAAAAATAAATCTTAAAAAAAGAGAACATCCCCAAGCTGCCTTATTTCAAGAGAGCAAAAAACTCCAATGTGAATGAGCCTGAATATACAAACGAAGCAATCAGAACCAAACATCAAACTCACATACCAAAACAACATTCCTAGTAACTAAACTACCCAGGAAAATAAACCAAACAATTAGGGACTGCCTCCATGGTTGAGGGCCTTTTCAAATCTCTCAAAGTATACAAATTCTATAGCTCCTATAGCTTACCCTAGTCCCTGAGTCATGCTGTTCCCTCTAACCATTTATGTCCTGACCAACCCTGGCACTTTCCCTAAATGGCCCTTATGAGTGATATACCCTTCTCTCTTACTCCTATCTGTAACAAAATTCTTTCATGATAATCATTTGTAAATCTGATGTTCTATCACTCATAAACAAAACAAATCTCGTGGCTTTTTTAAACACATACAGATGAATTAACCTTTTAAAGCATGTATTAAGTGATGCTGAACCTCCAAAATAAATGTACTACCTTAGTGCCGACTCGAAATAAAATTCAATTTCATTGGCCCTCCCCAGTGGCGCAGTGGTTGAGCAGTGGGTTGTGAAGCTGCTGCAGCCTCTGCAGTGCTGGTTCCATCCCCAGCCGCCGGCAAGGGTCCCACATGGCACGCAGACTTCTCCTGCCGCCCACTGCTCCCCTCAGCAGTGTACTTCGTCAGTCTGCCTGTTCTGTTCCCCGCTCTGGCTCTGGTGAATTCTCTCACCCTCCTGTGCTTCTGATTGTACCCAGTGCTTATAAAAATAAATAAATAAAATCTTAAAAAAAAAAAAATTCAATATTTTTGCCTACTACCCCAGAAGAGATCTTTTCAGATATACCTTCAACAATCTATTCCAGTTGTCTCTCCTCACCACAAAACAAAACAAACAAACAAAAAAAAAAACAAAAAACAATGTCTCAAGACCTTCAACAGACAGTAAACTAAATGTCAATAACAGATTCCAAACCTATCACTTTAGTGAAATAACTTAGAATGATACCAATTTTGTCACAAATTAATATAAGCAAAGAGCTCAGTTCCTTAGCATATTTCTCCTCACAAAACATCACCAAATTTCCAACTAAACACTTAAAACACTTATAAAATAAAACAATGATTTCACACATTCTCCAATATGCTTATGTCAGTTAAAAGTCAAGGAGTTAATCCTGGCATTTCAGGACACTTGGCAGGAACCACCCCTGGATAGGATGCCCCTTCTATATCAGGGTGCATCATACACACTCATTCTAACCTATCAAATGAGTCACATTAAAGAACCTCATTCATATATTTAGTATATATGAGGTAACTGGAAATCCCAAGAAAACCCATGCACACATTAGAAGAAAAATGCAGATTCCACAATGAGAGTGGCCATAACAGAAAATTAGTTATATATTTTTCTCATCAACATCATAAGGAAATACCCTGAATGAGAATCATTACTCAAGGACCAGATGTACTTGGTTGTGGATTTCTTTTATCTGAAAATCATTTCCTCATCATCTGTGCCTTTAATTTATCCCAATGTGACCTTGCATAACACAAAGGAAAAAAAATAACTATTCTGAATTTTCAGAACTCTTTATACTCCTTTATTACAATCTTTTAGTAAATAATAGTTACTTACATATACTTTAATTTTTCAGATTTAAACTAGATCCTAAAGGAAACCAGCATGTAAAAAATTTCCATTGTAATTTATATAATGAATTTTCCCCACAAATCATTACAGACATATCCAATTATTTCTTAGTAAGTGATAACCTATTGAGATACTTATTTATACTTATTTTAAATGCTTCAAATAAAAAGCTGTGATGGTACATTAACAACTATTTATAACAACAATAAGACTCACTTAATGTCATGAGAGATTACAAAACTATCATTTTAAGTAAAATCACTTAGAATGATACCAATTTTGTGACAAATTAATGTAAGCAAAGAGGTAAAGGTTACATTACTATTTATAACCACAAAAAAAGGCAAATTATACTTGCGCTTAATAAATTGTCAGTCTCTTTCCACAAAATCCTGACTCTGCTCTTTTTCCTCCCTTAGAAAAAATCACAATGAAAGGATAAATAACTTATAAGCATAATCAATAAAGCCACACAAAAACTAAACCAGTTAATTAAGTGGTTAGTGAAGTTATTTAAAATCTCCTCAAATTTCCCTATAAAAATTAATCCTAGGTCTAATTATAGTCTAAACCAGCTTATCATGGCAGAAAAAACTTTCTCCTCTAACCTCCCCTCTCCCCATTCAGCATTCCACATTCAAAACGAGCAAACAAAAAAACACTATTTGAATTTCCACGTACAAGTTCAGAAATCAAGCAGAGAAGGACCAATAGACCACTGAGGGGGGAAAAAAAAAAATCCAAGAACAAATGACTATATAGAGTAACTCTAACCAAAACACTCTTCCTCCAAGACAACATCATTTAATGCCTAGTCATTCCTTTTTTTTTTTTTTTTAAAGATTTATCTGTTTACACACCCAAGAACTTGGGTATAGGTCAGAGATGCGAGATTGGGAATATTCACCAGAGACAGAGTGGAGGCAATCAGCAGCATAAGTTCAATTCCTGGCCAGGAGGCGACCCACAGGGTGCGGCAGACCTCTCCTGTCTCCCCACTGTTCCCTTCAGCAGTGTATTTCAGTGGATCTGGCTGTTCTGCTCCCCACTGCCTTTAGTGAATCCTCTCATCCCCCACACCCCTGGCCTGCACCCCAGCTCTTGCATGCATAAATAATCTTTTAAAACATAATAAAAATAAAGAACAAAGTAAAAATTTGAGTTGAAAATACAAAGAAAGGAAAGCAGATCGCCAGAGACACCATAATCAGATCACGCAGATCAAAAAAATCTGTGAAGACAGATTTTGGTATTTGGTATCTGACATGGACTTTAAATATTACTCAGTCAGAGGGGATCCCAAACAGAAGGTTCTCCTCAGAAGAAAGAGAATAAGAAAGAATAAAACAGCATAGTAAACTACAGAATACAATTAATGGAAACAGTGGTGTCCCACAAAAAAAGGCTAAGAGAAAGGGGCAGAAAACTTAAACATAAGATATTTAAATTAGAAAGAAAGGGGGAAGGCCAACAGTATCATGTCAGAATGGAGATAATGATGATAATACAAACAGTAGTTTTTCAAAGGAAGATTTATAAGTTCACCAACAGAGTCCCAGGATTTTTTCATAAAGGACTTACACAAAGGTTAAAGGCAAGTTAAGGCAGAAATGGAGGCGCAAAATCTTGGAAAGGAGATTCAGGAACAAAGAGTTCTTCACAACTGAATGAAATAAAGACAAATATGGAAACCCCTTCAAATAATTAAGCTGGCAGAG